TTGCTAAGAACAAGTAATAAACATGAGTCACCAGAGGGCATTAACGCTTCTACCAAATGGCAAATGCAGCCCTTCAATTAGAGAGGCTGATAATTACATCCACATCATCATGTATATTTTATATGATTGAACTTCAGCCAGCTTGTTCTAATCCATGTTCAAATCTCAACTACATACTGATGAGGCACTGAGCTACATTAACTGTTGTGGTCACACTTGAAGTACATGGGAGAGACTCACAGTCTCCTCAGACAGACCAGGGAAAATAGGGCAGGCACACGTTTGTTCACACACAATCTCAAGCTTCCCTTGCCTATGGAATATATGTGTACTATTAAATACAAATAAAATTCTGAAGCAGGCATGGAGAACAGGCCACAAGTCCTGCATCTCAAAGAAACAGAATAACTATTCTTAAAGGTTTGAATCAAGATCTCTCCTATCATAAGGGACTGCAATCAACATCAGCCTGCAAAAGAGAAATGGGAAAGGCTTCCCCTTGACCATCAAGCAGCAATGGATGTGTTGTTCTCTCAAGTCTGGCATCAAATCAACTGCTATGTTACAGCCTTAATCTTTAAAAAAGGAGGCTGCTCTTTACCACGAGAAATAGGCAGGTGTTTAAACCACAAATACGATGCTCAGGAGGGGCTCATAAGAGTGTTTCTTGATACTCTGACCAAACAGCTCTGGTTTCTCAGTGCCAGCCAAAGCTGCACACTGCAGCACAGCCAGGGAGTTTCTGTGGCAGAAAACCTTGACTTGTTGGTGAAGTTGATACAAAGAGCCAAAATACACCTGAACAGTGCAGATCTATAGAAATAAGAGCAAAGCCTCCAGGCCCTGCAAGGTACACAGCTGCTTCTTTTCCCAGTTTTACCTAAACTGTCATTCTTGTAGTCAGGACTGCTGGACAACAAAGACATGGGAAGAAAAAGGGAATCCTATCCGTATGGAAAAGGAAAAGGACACCTTACCCATTGAGCTGTTGTTTGTCTGTGCTGAAGTCACTGACATGTAAAAGGTTACAGTGACAACAAGGCTGGGGTAGGAAGTTCTGTGAGCAACCTCAGGGGATCTCCATGGGTTCAAGGAAGACACCTCTTGCGCCATATGACAGTCTACAACCCATCTGGAAGCCCATGGGGAGTTTTGAAAACACCAGCTGAGAGCCTACTAGAGCAGCACACCTCAGAGCAGCGAGTCCAAGAGAATAAAGATCAACCTTATATGCAGGTCAGGAAAACTGCATTTTAAAATACTTTGTGGTGACTCACAAGACTTCCCAATGTTTTATTTGCTCTACTCTAAGATTTACCAAACAGGTCCCTTTATTGAGACAAACTCTCCTATAAACTGAAACACAGACTGGGAACAGCCTTCCTTGGCCACAAGCTGGTTCAATGCCCATCATTTATGCCATTCTAACTTCTGAGTCACAGCAAACCACTCCACTGTTCACAACACACCATGGTGCACAATACACCCTCCCTGTCTAGGACTTCAGCCCACTCTCTCTCTGTTCCCCCACCTTCTCCACCTCACACAGCTCCTCCTGACTGCACACAGCCAGCGTTGGGAGCCCTTCCACACTTCACCCTGCCTTGTTCCAGCTCCAAGCTCGAATGGCCCCTTCCAGCTGGGCAGAAGTCCAGGTGGGACCAGCTTGCCCACAGCTAGGACTCCAATGCCATTCTCCCTAGAATCCTACAAGGTTTTTCTGGATCTTTGTAAAGGAAAAAGAGTTGCAGTCACACATCCACATGTTCCAGGGGACTGAGCATACAGAGAATCTGCTTAGAACGCCCAACCGCAACATTAAGACACGCTCGCTTCAGCAGTCTTTTAAGGTGATTAATTCATAAAGAGACAAAACATGAAGCCTACAAAGCTTCTGTTCATGCAGTAACTATGACACATATACTTATACTGAAAGATGATTCCTACTGCAGCAGTCCCAGGTATTTAAATGCAAAGGTTTTTAACAGAAAGGTTTCCTCATTATTTTGAAGATGTATTTCTAAGTCTGTTTTCTAACAAGAGCTGTAAACCAACACTGAGAAGAGAAATACATCATGCCTTTGCTGGCTTATAATTTGAAAAAATGCAACCAATTACATTCCCCACCCTTAAAGGATATATTCAACTCAGCTTTAGTTATTGAATGAAAGGAGGAGCTCAAATGACTCAGCTTCAAGCAAATATAAAGGAAAATATTAACCCCTAATCTCAATAAAAAAAATAAATAGTGGAACAAACTGATTAAGATGGAGGTGTGGCTTGTCAATTCAAATCTTTTAATATTCAAACACATCAAGCAGAACATTAGCACACTATGACTGCATTACTTTTCTGTACAAACACAGTCGATTTCAAAAATCAAAGTTTACACAAGTAGTTGAAGTTAACCCAGTATCTTCATTCTTGTTCTTTAGTGCTGAGCAGCATAAAGATAAATAAAACATCAAAACATTGGCATTTTTAATCTACAGTCACCAGGCAAGATAGAAGTGTGAAAAGGAAAAGTCCTCTCCAAAATTCTGCAGGAAAACCCGCACATTTCTACAAGGAAAAAACCCAACAAAACCCCCTGGTGAGTAAACAGGATAACCTCATGAAGGGGGTTTTCTTGGGGGGAGCCCGTCGTTTCCACTGGACTGAGTTAAAACATTTCTCCTTAAACTGCAGCAAAATAAATTACAAGGTAGAATACTTCACAAGGGGGCTCACCAACACCAAGGGACTGCTGTACATCCTCCACATAAATTCACAAGTGCTTGTCCCCCATGTCACACCAGCATCTCAACGCAGAACACACCCCCAGCTGTGCTGGGAGGAATATTTAATTCCAGAGTAGCCGGAGTGCTCTTTCACATGCGGCCCAAGCTCCAAACACAGATGTCACCAGAGGGCACCCTCTCAATTCCAGTGACCCAGCTTTAGCTAACTTCTGAGCAGGACTGCAGACAACCCATGAGCAGGGATGTGCAGAGGCTTTGGAAAGCAGGAACAGTTCTGCTTCTGCAAGGAATTTCCTTAAAATAATAATAAAAAAAAGCCCACCATAGAAATAAAATTTTTAAAAAATAAAAATTATTTATACAGCCGAGAAATGTAAAAATTTTCCAGAGGAAAATAGTGTTAGGGGAAAAAAAAACCAACAAAATCACAATTTATCAAGTTCTGTACAATGTTATACCGTGGCATTTGATGGTGCCAACTCAGTTCAGCTCTTTTGGCACCCATGTGGATCATATCAACTCCCACAAGCTGGGTCCAAGGCAGCACAGCTCATGAAAAAGTGCCTATGGAAGTCCTCTGGCTCTGCTATCAGATACTACATCTTACAATACTACATGAAAAAAAATGCACGAGTAGTTTTCAAGCTTTGGTCCATGTATTATTGCTAATGCCCTGTTAAGTGTTAATAATGTTTTAAAACAAACACCTGGTAAGTTGAAGTTCATTTAAAAAAATTATGCACAAGCAGTAAAACATGCAATAGGTCTACATACCAAAAAGGGTCTCACACCACCAGTTGGCATGAACAGAATATTATACCCATTCTGTTTAGAAATAAACATCACCACAGTACAACTAAAATGAAGTCGGCTGCAGAAGCAAGCAGTGATAAGAGAAAAAGAGGAAACAGTCATTGTGCATCCCATATTTTCCAATCCTGAGAAAACCCAAAAAGCTGTAGGCCTATCAAACATTTGACTGCCTGGTTATCTGCCAATCCCATTTGAAAATAAATTGTCCCCACCTCTTCTCTCTATTTGTGATTGCAAAGCACCTTAATTCAGCAGCGGCACAGAAGGAAGGGTGAAGGACTAAGACCTGTGCAAAAGCACCTTTTTCAGTAGAGGGATCTCTCCAACAGTGTCAGTATAGGAAACCTGCAAGTAGATATACACATCCACGGAATTTCACCAGGCCTGTAACTACTATTAAACCCACAGGGCAAGTTACTCTAAACTATTACCTGTCATCACCACTCACCGTAGTTTAAAATATATCTACAGAATTGCTTTTCCAGCACCTGCTGCCAGGAAAGAAACAACGCTAAACATGCCTCACGTCTAATAAACAGCATCTATTTGTCCACCTTCTAAAGAAGATTCCCGTCTACTGGAAGGTAACATGCTCTGAAATTACCCTGGTTTACATGAAAGTGGTGCGACGTGGTGTTCTTACAGCCACTGCCCATGTTGTCTCTCGTATCCCCATCCCTGGGCACTGCCCTGTCACCCGTGTCCCCATCCCTGGGCACTGCCCTGTCACCCGTGTCCGCATCCCTGGGCACTGCCCTGTCACCCGTGTCCGCATCCCTGGGCACTGCCCTGTCACCCGTGTCCGCATCCCTGGGCACTGCCTTGGCCCTGGTTCCCCGGTCCCTGGGCCCATTCCTCGGGCAGGACGGATGGATAGCGGTATCTCACCGCCACAGCCCCCGCTCCGCCCCGGCCGCTCTCCGGCCCCCGCCGTGCCCCACGAGCGGACTCGGCTCTGCCCGTCCCCACGCACCAACACCCCCGTCCCCGAGGGCTCCACACACAGCAACGGTGGCGTGTCCACCTTACAGCCCACTCTTCAGCCCCGCAAGCAGGCACCGGCGGGGCGAACATCTCTCCCGAAGCCCCGCATCCCTCCGTGCCGCAGCCAGGCTGCTGCCCCACCGCGCACACACCGGCGAGAGGGGGCTCCGCTCCCCGCCACCCCCGTGCGAGGAGGAGGAGGAGGAGGAGGAGGAGAGGGCGGCAGGTGGGCGGCGGAGCCCCGGGGGGCCGGGACCCTCCCCGGATCTGGGAGGGGACGGAGCGCCTCCAATCCCCGGCCGGCAACAGCCCTGCAAGGCCCGGCGTGCGAGCCGGGTTGAAGCCTCCTTTCTTCTCTCCTCCTCCTGCTCTGAGGAGCCGGACAATGAGCCCCGCGGAGGCGGGCGCCGGCTCCCTCCTCCACCTCCTTCTCCTCCTCCCCGCCGCGACAGCGCAGCTCACCTGCGACAGGGGGGATGGATGACGGCGGGGCGGCCGCTCGGAGGTGCTGCCCGAGGGGCTGCGGTGTCTGCGCGGGTCCCTGCGCGCCCCCGGCTCCGCAGGCGCGGGGCGGCCGCGGCCACGCTCCCCCACTCACTCACTCACTCACTCACACACACGGGGTGGGGGGGGCGCCCGCCCCGCCCGCGCATGCGCGCAGAGCCCCCCCGGCCCCGCCTCCCCCCCGGCGCCGCGCGCCGGCTGCGCACGCGCCGCCTCAGCGCCGCCCCTCCCGCCCGGCGCTGAGGGCGGGCAGTTTTGCCGCTCGCTCCCTCACGGGATCAATGAGGTTGGAAAAGAGCTCCGGGATCGGTCAGACCGGGGGTACTCGATGGTACGTCCCGAAACACCTGCAGGGACGGTGACTCCGTCGCCTCCCTGGGCAGCCCGTTCCAATATCAAATTACAGAATCCTAGTATTGTTAGGGTTGGAAGGGACCTCTGGACATTATCCGGTCCAACCCGCCTGCCCAGGCAGGGTCACCTGGAGCAGGTAACACAGGAACGTGTCCCTAAGAGGGAGACTCCATACCCTTCCGGGAGCTGTTCCACTGCTCTGCCACCTTGGCTGCAAAGTTCATTTAAATTTACAACTTCACCCTTTCTGTGAAGGAATTCCTCCTGCTGTCCAACCTAAATCTCCCCTGGTGCACTTTAGGACCATTCCCTCTTGTCCTGTCCCTTGTTCCCTGGGATCAGAGCCCGACCCCCACCTGGCCCCCTCCCTCGTCAGGGCGTTGTGGAGAGCGAGAAGGTCCCTCCTGAAACTCCTCAAATCCAGGCTGAGCTCTCCCTGAGGCGCCGCTCCCTAAAGAGTAAAAAGACAACAGGGGCTAGGAAAGGAACTGGCCCCCAAATAAAAACTATTACATTGCTAATAACTATGTTCTCAGGGTATGCAGTGCAATGACTTTAATGATTTCCTTCTCTGCTCCCACAGTCATTAGGGAATAATCAGCTTATGGGAGGAAAGCAAGGCCTTCAAGGTGCTCGCACCATTTCTGGAGTGAAAACCCTCAGAAAACCACAAGGTTTTGCAAGAGTTGCTCTACAGTCGCCAGAGCTGGAAGTGCTGCTGTCGTGGGGACAGGAGTCAGCATCACCACCTTCCCATCTGCAGCTCCAGCCAGGCAAGGCTCTGACCCCACCGAGTTATTGCAATAATTAATAGCTACCATTTGTACATTCTGAATGCTTTGCAAGCAATGCCTAATCTCATTAAATTGTGCATTGATTTATTTTCATCCTGTCGTGGAGTTAAAACAGACACTGCTTCCTTCACATCCATGGGAGATAGAGTCAGTAATTTGTTCCTATACTGGAACTGCTACCATTGGGTCTATGGCCACCTGCTATGGGTTTTAATGAAATACAGAGCCACCTGCTATGCAGAATGCCTGATTTTTAATAGACTTGCAGGCTGGTGAGAGTACAGGTACCATGATCCAGATTAAACAAGTCCAGCAGGATGGAAAGAACGTACCAGCTTTTAAATCCATGACAGGGAACTAAGGCAGGAAGGATTTGTGAAACTACAGGCACAAGTTTGACAATAAGCAAAGAAAAGCATTACTTTTAGGTACAGTGCCATTTCCCCAATTTTAATAAAGCTTTGTGCCTAGAAAGAGAACACTGTTTCCTCCTGCGGTTTTTGGGGTAGGTTTTTTTTTTTTGGTTTTTTGGTGTTTTTTTTGTTTGGTTTGGTTTTTTTTTGGGGGGGGTGTTGTTTGGTTTTGTTGGTTTTGTTTGTTTGTTTGTTTGTTTGTTTTGTTCCACTCCATTAATCTGGCACAATATCGAATTCATTCTGAACCAGAATAAATGAAAAGAAAATAAAATGCCAAATGCCATCCTGCTGCAAGGTTTTCAACAGGTGAGTCATTGGGTAGAAAAATTCTTTCACCAGATTTGGAAACACAACAATTTGTAATATAGAAATAAGAAAATACTACAGAATCATAGAATTGTTAAGGTTGAAAAAGAGCTCTAAAATAATTGAGGCATAAGAGAAAAGAAATAGTAGTAAAAACACCTCAGAAGGGGGAAGCAATGGGATATTTCTTTGTAAGCTATTCTCCTTCACTAAAGCAGAAGACAAACTATCTTGTAAAACAAGCTTAGGGGTGTATATATGGGTTAGGTTACAAATTTTCAAAGACATTTTACAATCCTCTCACTAAATGCTTCCAGAAAAACTTCCTAATGGGTTCTGAGGAAAAAAGCAATGTCATAGACCAAAAACTAACAGAGACTGAACAGGAGGACATGAAAATCCAAAAGTGTAAGGTAGTTTTAATTTTGTAAATACCCTTAAAATAATCTAGAAAAAAAGTGGTACAGAAGGAGACACCATTTTTAGGACACACAACATTACTCCAAATTTTGGGGCAGATTGTGAAGATACTGGGAGTGACCCAGCTGTGTAGGAAGAAAATGTAGTGACATTCAATATTGATAAATAATCATCAGTACAACACAGTGGATACTGGAGAAAAGAATTCTGAGTAGGCATCACAGAGGGTTCTAAACCAAAGGAAATCATTTAAGAAATGCTCAGGCATCCTAGGCAGTGCTTCAGTAGAAATCTCTCCAGAGTTTATGAACACAGTCATGCACACAACACATCAAGAGACAAAATGAGAAAACAAGAAAATGTTGTCTGCCTTGCCATCATTTATATTAAAAAGTTTTACAGAATGAATTACAGAATTACACCAGAGCCCCACATTTAGCTGCTTTTCACCTATGATTCCAGAATCTTTTCCAAGAAACCACTTCCCAATACTCAGTTGCCAACTCTATATGCATAGCTGATGTTCCTTATTATTTTATAGATACAGATATTTCCCATTTTCCTAAATATTCCATTTAAAATACATTATTAGTTCAATGTTGCAGCTGTGCTGTTAGATATTCAAATCACAGGAAGCAGTGAAAAGAGGAAACGACTAGATGAAAATATATGGCAAAATAGTCAGTTATGAGGAAGAAAGCTGCTGTCAAAAGTAACAGGAAACCTTGTGACTGGCAGCTTGGGAGGGAATGGGTGCAGAGCGCCAAACCTGAGCCAACATACTCATGGGAATTGGTCTGAATGAACACAGCTGAAAATCTTCCAGCCCACAGGACACCACGCTTGCCATCACCAACTTTCACCCAAGAGAGCAATTTAGGAATGGTATTTATCTGGCCAGCTTGCAGTATTCTTCTGAATAATTATTTACTATGGATCTCAGAGGGTCTTTTTTGGACGTACATATCCTACATTTTATTAGGGATGATTACTTTTATAATTCACTGCCCAAGAAGCTGCATCTCCCTACAGGACTGTCACCAACTTCACCGTACCCAACCATCCCAAATGATAAAGGATATAACATTTCCTTTTGAAATCAACAGTTTGCAGCTTCAACATAATCTACCAATTTAGAGGAGGAAATTTATCTATTTTTAATCTCACACATGAAAACCATTTTTCCCTTAGGCTACACCAAACGTCTGTGCTTCCACACACAAACTACAACATGCTTGCAGGAGCAGCTGTACTGAAATGTTGACATTGTAATCCAGGGCACTTGTTGATGTAAATTTTAAGTCTATAAAAATGCCAGCAGAGTACAGTTTATAATTTACATATAATTATACAGTTTTTCATTAACAGAAGGTAACACAAGCAATTTAGAATAAAACATTCCTAATATAGGTTACTTTAATGGAATCAGCTTTACTTGTATAGATTATAACCCAAATTATTCTACACAATTTGAGAAAAAAGGAGAAATAGTGCTTTATTATGAGTGGACATACCACGCTCTGATATTAAAACTATACATTAATATAAAATCAAATTAATTTTGCTGCCTTTCATCCAAGCTTCCTGAGTACTGCAGAAAAGTATTTGGGAAGTACCGTTTTAATCTTGTAACAAAGGATTTGAAAGAGTGTATCTTACATTTTGGTACCTAGTTCATTAATTACTAATTGCTTGGCACTAAAGTTCTTCTATCATTGCCTGAATCTAGAAACAGTTATTGTCATAAAAAGTCACCAGTTAAAATCAGTTTGATAGAAGATGTCCTAACTGGATGTCTGCTAAAGTATATGGTTACCTAAGGAATGAGAATATAGTAGAAAATATTTTATTTATATAACCTGTAAATGTTATTTTCTATTCTTACTCTTTGACTAAGTTATTCCATGAGTCTCACTATACTTAATTCACACAAGTACATCAGGGTGAGAAACACTAAAGAAATGCAAAATGTTGCTAAATTTACTTGTCAACTTATGAAAAGAAAATTGCATAATTTTTTGTTGAAACTGTGTAATCATTTTCTCAAAATTGCAGCACAGTTGTGGTATCTGCCACCTTAATTCTGTTATTTCCTGATTTTAGAGTGCTTATCTATACAGGTCTTTTATAAATGCAGTGCCATTAATATTAATTGTGCAATTAATATTCAGCTTCTAGCAAGGTGCCCAGTCTGTGACATTTACACCTACATAATCCTACTTTTTGATCTGTAATCCTCTGTGATTTCCTTGCTTTCATTACAAGGGAAAATAGGAGTCAGAATGGGATAAATATAACATTGCTGTAACTACCACCATCTTCCTCTTTCCTTTTGGAGGAATACTTTTTGCTTAATACATAATACACATATATTAGTTTCTACCCCTTAATCAGGAGGATGAGCTTCCTGCTTCAATCATAACCAAGTGAAATTTTCAGTCCATTCAGTTAAATTTGAAACCAAGAAAAAAAAAATATTTTAATTGATAAAAATATGTGTACCAGAGAAATCTGGTAAAAATAAACCCAGACACCCTATGTGTTTAGAGTTTTAGAGCCAGAGGAGAAAAATGTTACTAAGAATGCTATGCTGAAGAGTAGATGGATGTTTCACAGCTCCTCTCACTGACTGTGCTCAGCTGATGTGCTAATATTTGTTCCCAAAGGTGTTGTGATTAACGCTAGAACACCTCCTTGGGCTCACACATCTGCTGGTTCCTCATTTCCGACAACGATGAAGTGAT